TCGCCACCGTCGCGCTGTCAGTCTTTCTTATCCTTCATTCTTTGGTCAGTGGGCTAGCCGAATAAAAATGTCCTTTCACACCAGACTGACAGAAACCCTCTCCTCCCATGTTTTCCGTCCTCAAGTCTAGGAACCCCACCCACGGCCCCTTACTTTATTTCCTTCAGCTTACGAAACACGCGAAATCCCCCTGTCTCGCCGGCCCGCGTCGGTCCTTTTTTTTCTCCCCTCCCCTTTCAAATGTCCACCCACTTGCGCTCTCACTTCCCCTTCTGTTTCACAAATATGAAGGGTTATGTGCCTTTCTTCGACCCATGTGGCTTTGACCACATGCAGGGTGCCAAGTCAAGGGGAGACAGACTTGTGCGATACGGACACAAGGAGATGATGGCATCGGATTCCCCGCTGCGCCGAGTCGCCATTCGGCCTAGAACAGCAACCGACCCAGCTTACTGGTAATTAGAACATTAAAAAGCACAACACGAACAGTTAGCGTGCTTGACGGCAGAAAAGCCTTGTAGTTAAAAAAAAAACATGTTCACTTAAAAAAGCAAGACATAAAAATCTCAATCAGATGACTTGTCCAGATACTCTTCAAAGTCAACTAATTTAAACCAGTGTCCGCAATAACACTTCTTTGGGGGTCCTTTAGAAATCTCCATCCAGTTAATGGCATTGGCCTCCGGTTCACCTGTAACAGATGGACAACCATGAGGGTGTGAACAAAGTGACGTCAAAAGCTACGTCGGCAGCGTCAGTGTCAGTTAGGTGAGCTCAGAACGTGCCATAAAAAGTTCTGCAAAGTATAACTCAGCTGAATTATTTCTGTCTTATGGAGGGCCGAGTAAGTTCAGGGTTGCTACTTGTAGCAGCCATTAACTCCTCTCGACCGCAAATGCTGGTCGGGTTTAACAGAACACGGATGGGAAGAGGGGAGTTAAAGTCATTATGAAGCTGGCAAAGAACCGCAGAGTACAGGGCTTGCTTAGCTTCTTAGGTAGCGGAATATTTGACACATGCGCGTGGATTGCAGAGGGTGCCAGCTGACTAGTGAAACTGCAGATAAGGCGCAATATGTTCTTGGGGACCGTGTGGCGCAACGGTCTGCGTGACGCTGTGGCATCAGGAAGCAAACGGAGGAAAAATAAAATTTAATACGTACAAAGGCAGCCAATAAGACGGGTCGGTGCAGACGACGCAATCAAGTTGGGTTCTTCCTCCGTCGTGTAGGCAGGCATCTTTACACGTCGCACTTCATAGGGATCCTTTTTACATGGACAAAGAAAATCAGATACCTGTTCATAAATAATTTTCTCGACTGCTTTAAAGTTGTTGTTTTTGATTGCTTCACTCAGGCATTTAAGAGCGGTTCCTGGAAAATAGACATGACGTCCATTATGATTACCTTCTGAAGTATGGGTCGCCGTGGAAAAGGATCTCAGACTCGCTGCTCGCAAGAGACATCCCATGATACGCATACGCATAATTTTCGTACCTATTTAGTGAAAACATAAAAAGACGGAATAACACCACTGGGAGTATTCACACGGCTAATCGTAAGCATGTTTCCTTATAACGAATATTCTTATCTACCGTAGGGAGTGTCGAAATCTTGAAGCAAACAAATAATAATATGAAATGAAAATAAAATTCACGAGACCAGGTCGGCAGTGAGAGACAGTTTCCGAAAAAAAATTAAGTTGAAGACGGAAAAAACGACAATATGGGACCTTAAATAAGTGCCCACATTTACAAATTCCGGTTGTTTTGTAGGGACCCTACTTCGGGTTTCTGCTGCAACGTTGCGTCTCAGGCACGTACTAGAACGCGCGTAATTTCGACAGTCTGATTGTTGTCTAATTACAGCAATACACATGGCGCATTGACGTCTGTCCCCGTGGCACTTTGAAGCCAGACTTATCACGCTGGTCTGGTTGCCCGCCTGCTCCAAACTATCAAGCAAAGCAGGCGCCGAGTGAACAGGCGACGGCCACAAGAAGAACAAACCGAAGTCTGGAGGGCTATTCCTTACAGTAAAGGAGTCTCCGAGGTGGTCTCACGACTGTTTCAATCCGCCAGGGTAGGCATAGCCCATCGACCCCAGGAAACAATTCGTCGCCGTTTAATGCAACCCAAAGACATACTGCCACCCGCCGAAACCTCAGCAGTTGTCTATCGAATACGTTGTAACGATGGAGACTGCAAATACGTCGGGGAAACTGGACGGAAATTGCAGACCCGCCTACATGAGCACAAAATGGCAACTCTGAGAATAGACCCAAACTCACAGCTTGCGGCTCACATCGGGGAAACTGGACACAGTTCTGATTTTCAAGAAGCAGCCGTCTTAGGCAGAGACACCTCAAGGACAGAGCGTCTCACATTTGAGACTTGGTACTCAGATACCAACTCCATCAACAGGCATCGAGACCTTCCTTCGGCTAATAAAGTCCTACGTCACTACATACGCCGTGACGAAGACAAGACAGTCATACGGAGCCTACGGATACCGAGCAAACACAGCCTGTCGACCAATTCACCCAAAAGGGGGACGGAAACGCAACTAAACCAATTGAGGTGACGACACACAATACAGGAGGCCAACACTCACAAGCGACGGCCAGTAGGCTAAGGCAGCGAAAGAAGGAAAACATCGACCAGCTCAAGGCCAACTAATTCGGCTGTCTTTTCAAAATTCTGGTCGATTTTTGCACTAGAAGCTTCGATAGTGGAGAGCCGCCCAGCCTTTCGAAACGCCAGCCAAACAAGTCCTTCTATCCGGTGGCACTTCCTTTTCCTCAAACCATCAACAATGTATTGTGTACAGGATAAATTTTTCCCTTAAGTGGCGTCCAGTTCCTCCATAATTTATTCGGGGTCAGCCACGAATTTCGCAGCGGCCAGACTCTTTTTACGACTCTGGCTGCCGTTGCAGGCCAGTGCAATCCAGTACCCCTTGCAGGATCCTGTAACTGTTGGAAAGTATGCACGCACTTATTACAACATTTCAGAGACGAGCTGAGGTTAAGTTAACCGTCTCAGAACATACTGATATCCAGGAGACAAACACGAAAGAAGCAAAGTCGTGGAAAATTTTGCAGGCTATTTTCTCGAGGTTACGAAAACTTCAGCCAATTTGACATTTCAATATCAGCAGGTCAGTCCGCATCTTTCATTTCACTATTGGCAGTCTAACTGGGCAGTCGAATATTCTACTGGGTTTCATCATACTTAAACCCAATGCGTCCGTTAGTCCTTTAATCTCAACGAATGACTTTTCAGACCATAAAAGGACTATCATCTGCAGCTGAGAACATGAGGGAACAAAAGCGATGACGCCTAAAAGCGCGCAGCCAGCTTCAGTAGGCTATCGGCATGTTTGAATCCGGTACAGTTGGCCGTATGGCAAGACACGAAAGGATGATCCTATTTATTAAAGTATAGATCTCGATGCTTCCGTCTTGCTGACTCATAGTGTAACTGCACAAGAAAATACGAATTGATCTCATGCACTAACAAAGTTATTTATGTTCGATTTCCTAAACCAACATGCAAAGAACTAAATCAGCGCAAATCGCCTGCAAAAGCGTGGGTACCCCTAGTTAATGTCCGTCCTGTCTATAATAGGCGCTACAAAAAGGAGGATGACAAAACACATTTTCTGGTCGCCAATTTGCTAAGACCACATATCCTACGATCCAAACTGATTTATAATAATGAAATAGCCGAAAAAATTAAAAATTAAAGTTGTTTCTACACAAAAGTTTGCATAGGTGTTAATCCAAAGTGAAACCCTGAAGGCCTTTGTAGAAATCAAGAAAGGTCAACAGGGACATGAAAAATGTGCAGATTGCCGTGCTGTGTAAACTCTGAAATGCATACGGAAGCACTTATATTCCCACCGCGAAAAAGGAGCTCTTTTGGACAGAAACGTGAACGGTGACAAAATTCGGAAAAATCAAGGCGAGATCCGATATTGTGGATAATGCCTGAGTGATGCCCATTTTCACATCCAAGACTAACGTTCATTGCCTATTCTATGGGAGTTTCCACTCAGAATCGCGAAACTTCTTGAACCCATCTGCTACTTTGTTTACCGCTATCTGTTATTATTCAGAGATAAAATCATCATCAATGACGGCCTTGATGGCCCATGAATGTTGCCAATTATGGACAACTTAGATGCCCTGGGAATTTCCTTCATGCACCTATGAATCAACTCACGGAATCGTAGGGGTCAAGCGTAAGATTGGTGGACTTGGAAAACCGCAGCGACGACTGGAACTGACAGAATAATTACTGAGCCCTCCAAACCATAAAAACCACCATCAACTATATTTTTATCCCTTTAGCTCAAGAGTTTTTTTCACTGCCGGTCGGATTTATGTTTAAACGCTTCCCTTGACACTGCCTGTAAACTGGCATTAAATAAAAATTTATTTATATTTATTTATTTATTTACTGTCAACGCAAAAGCGGCAAGCGTGTGTCAGTAGTCAAGAAACAATAAATCAAGCACCTACTCATCCTACCGTGCCCATGCTGTCTATAAGTATTTCGCCCTAGAATCTGTTTCGCTGTACTTAGCATGACCCCATCGAATAGCAACAAGCAGCCCCATTCCAATCTCGAAAAACGTCCCCAAATCAACCACCACCACCACCACCATCACCACCACCACCACCGCCGCCACCACCACTACCATCACCACAACTGCCACTGCCACCACTATCACAAGCACTGTTAAGAATAGTACCGGCACTACGCCAACTACCACCCCTCCACCGAAAATGGAGGCTGAATCTCAGCCTGTTCCCACTGCGATCAGGCCTTTGAATCAAGCATTGGCCAGATCGGCCACTTGCGAATCCATGGCACTTTGATCTGGGAATTGGTGCCTGGAGTCCTGACATACACCCATAACACGCGTCTGGTCTCCCCCAAAATGTCCCGGGGCATTAAGATGCCGCACGGGTCTTCTCAGTCACATGCACATACGCGAAAGCGGAATTCACCACAATTTCAACAAAACAAACTCATCAGCTATATCGGCAGCTTCTCTACCACCGGTTCGGTAGTCATAATCATATCTCGTCCTTCCCTCAACCGTATATTTAAAAACATGTCGACTTGGTCGATCATTTGCATATCCGTCGCAATGAGACCAGTGAACCAATGTCAGGAATCTAAACCCATATCCGTCGCACCCGATTCACCTCCCCACACCCTCCAGGCACATTCAGTCATCGTATGAGCCCGCCCGGCCACAATCATCTCCATGAAAATTTGCTGTTAACCATCAGACTCGAAACTCCATCACCATTTATCATCCTACCAGCCCACATATCCCTAGACCATATACTAACCTGCTCCACACCACGCATCAGGTCCCGTTACATTCTGACTACGTTCAGTAGCAATTTTTTGACTTGTTCAACCATCAGCGGTAATGCGGACGCAACGTCACACGAAAAAAACATGCTCATCGCATACGAGTTAAAGATTTGTTCTTCCTGCTTCCGATACATAAAGAAGATATCAAGTCGTCTTTGGTAGGTGTGGATGGGCCGTCTAGCTCTGTCAGCCACTGCGCTCCACTCCATTTTCAGTTGGCTGACAGACTCGGTCTGTCAATTGGTTCGTGGAAGAGGGAGTGCAGCCGACTCCAGGAGACCCTATCCCATCCTACATCAAAGCGCTCTTTTATACACTGAACTGACGCGTCTTAATGTACCACGACACGCCAAAAGTTGGCCTGCGAAGGTTTCCAACTGGTGAGGTAACACGATCCTCTTGACCAGTGATATGTGTGGGACGACTGATTGGTGCGTGTGGTCTTCATGGCACTCATGCACGTATGGGGCTCGCACGCTCCTACAGATCCTGACACATGTAGTGGTAGCAGGTAGTCGTGTGTGTGTCCGCGCAGACACATTGTTGAGTTGGTTGACTACCGCATCCTAGCCCAGCTTCAGTCGGCCGGACTGTCTTGTCATCAAAACCTGGTGGAAGAGGTAGATGGAGGAAACAGTAGGAGCCTCGGAGGTCCGCTTCACAGTGAACTTTTCTACGCGCAAGCTACCGATCTCGTGTCTTCTCTGTGGGGTTTGATGAGGGCGTTGTCCTTTGTGGCGGCTGAACTATCGGTTTGCAAATGTTGTACGATTTACCGTAATGACAGAACATGTAATGATATCTAAAAACAGTTTTACGCTCATTTGGCCATAGGTCCGTGCACGGAACATTCAATAGGAACTTCACAAATTCAGTAACTAAAACGAGTGCTCCCATTGGGGTACGATTGGGGTTTTACCTGGCAGATCAGTGATTGTTTGCTGCCAAAAGCCAATTTATTCGTAGACATCTTCTGTGAAATCGTCGAGTATCTTAAGAAAGTAATTTACTTGTATGGTCGTGTTCACCTAATATTTAATTTGTTTCATCATTTGTCCTAATAGCCACCGTAAGAATAAGTAGTGAGTTTTGTTGCCAACCTGGTATCGAGGGATCTTCCAAATTTCTGCAGAATTGCGACTTATAAATTACGGTCACACCTTCTAGACGACTACCCTCACTGAGTCCCGATGTCTCCATACTAGTTACCTTCTTATCTGAGAAAAAAGTTGGTCTCTTGTGTCATGGAGTGATATTCAAAAGAATTTTGCCGACAGTGTCATTATTCTGTCTCTGCCGATTCCACACGCATGCAGAAGTTTAAATATTCTTAGCTTCGACAAATCCTGACAAATCCTGAATTATATGAGTCGTCCCCTGTATCCTTGATATGTCCTAATTTAGGTGACTCTGGAGGGAATGCAACCACTGTCGATGTCAGCGAATGCCAACCAAAGAACAGACCGCTTGCAGTCACATCCTCAACAATCCCACCAGTAGCTTCACCCAGGTATAAGCAGGTGCATGGTTTAAAAGCGGGACCCAGTACAGCCTTTTGACACTCGAAACTTTAAAGAGTTTAGTTCTAAAAAACACTACTTCCCCATCACAAACTCCACCCCCAAACATGGCGCAGTTCCAATAGGTCCCACGCCATATAGCAAACAACTAATCCTTATTGGCCTATATTTTCGTCGACAAATGACATTCCTGCTCACACTAAAGCATTTCACCCCACACTCTTCATCCTATACCCTCCATAACAGAGTTAGCAGTGTAATTTCAACTCGAATGCTTTTCTTACGCAAATAAACTCGCTTAGACCTGAGCAATACCTCAGTTAAAATGGGTTGCAATGTCGTACAAGGGTATAAAAAGCTTGGTTCAAACTGCCTCCAGAGGAAAAGGAATCAATCTAACCCAGCCTTGAGTTTCTCGATGGAAATAAAGTACCCTCTCTTTCTGGACAACCCATTTAGGGGAAAAGTCAGATGGAACACTTCGTAGGAGTACAGTCCGCATGGAAACACGGCCAGGACTATGCACAAAGTTTCAAAGTCTGCTAATAGGAGCGAACGGGCGAGTTAGAAGTATTGGCCTGACGTTTCGGATTCTCACTCGAACCCATCATCAGAGACGGTCACAGATAAGGGTAATGGTGGCACAAGGAATGCAGTATTTATAGCACGTGGCTGCCGTGGGACCATTGGCTCACTGAAATTAACAGCTCTGGCAATCACAGCTGGGGTCGTAATTAACGCGATTGTGGCTTGTCAGTCCGCGTCCGAGTAATTGCTGACCGTGATTTCGTCATCCGTGCTGGATGGTAGTGAGACGATTGCTCGGCAAATTAGCCCACTGTCACTGGGATAATTGCTCGCCCGCGCCCTCCCCACGCGACCGATTTCCCTGCACAGGGAAACTCCAAGCACAAAATACGGTAACGGGAGGTCATTACGCTTGTTGATGGATTGCAGGCCTGAGAAACATGACACGAGCGGCTCGCGGCTCACGCAGTTGTCACCCCTTGCGCAGCTTTCGGCCTCTTGAAACTTGAAAATATGGCCGCGTCCCGTCGAATGCGCCGTCACCTGAGAGCTAGCGTCTCCCCGCCTCACTGCTGCTGCGGGCTTGGCAATTCGCGTCCAGAATAATCTCCCAGTTTCTCCCACATGGTTGCTTTGTCCGCAACTACACCAGATCCGGTAAACGACTCCAGACGTTTCCTGCCGTGGCAACTGGTCTTTTGGTCTCATGAACTGGCGCCTGATGGTTGCTTCCGGCTTGTTGCAACCCCGGCTCCAGGTGGAGTGAGATGACTACTGACGGCTTCAGAAACGTTCTTCACGTACCGAAGAGCCCGCCAAAATTTGGGGCCAGTTGGATTTGGTCTTTGGCTTCGTTTTCGGATGCACTGGTTGACAAAGTTGCTCGGGGAGCCACTGACTCTCAGTAGCCGTCGAAGATATTGTAATTCAGCAACCTTGTCTTCCATTTCACTGCAGTGCGTCTCAACGCGCCGGTATAGTGCCCTTACGCAACTGCGTTTGTGACTGATCGGGTGGTTGCTATTGAAGTTCAGTATTTGCGTCGTATTTGTCGCTTTCCTGAACACTTTGGTTTTAAGGCCACCACAATCTTTGGGGCAGAAGAGGACATCCAGGAAGGCCAGCTGATTGTTTCCCTCCTCCTCCATCGTAAATTGAATGTCCGGGAAGACGGCGTTGAGGTGTTCTTTAAATAACAGCACCTGATCCCGTTCGATGACGACGAAGGTGTTATTCACATATAGAGCCCGTAATTTCGGTCTGTGGTGTGGAAAAACCCGTGACTCCAAACGCTGTAGGACTGCCTCGGTTATGAGTCCCGAAACCAGCAAACCCATTGGCGGTCTCTTCACCTGCCCGTGTTTTAGGGTTTTCTCTCAAAACTATATTCCCTCTCCGACTTTGGATCAGCCTGTCTGAAAGATTAACTGGCCTATCTGAAGTCTCGCTACTGGACTGATTTCTTTCATAACTAGCATGCAACTTGTAGTCCCTTCAATCTTTATGGTGTTCTGAAAACATTTATCTCTCAGTTCCTTCTGCATCCGAATGTAACTAATGCAATTGTTGGCATTTTTCCCTTATTCTTCCGTCGTCAACCACGAAGACCCTGCCGTGATTCCTATGTCTAAAACGACATTTTAATTTTATCCTTGAACCATTGTGTTTCTGAGTGAACGAAGAGGCTCAGAAATAAAACTATTATCATACAAAATTCGGCACTTCTACACTTATTTTGAAATAGGATATCTACAAGAGAAGCAAAGCGTGGTCAACTTGATCAAATGCTATAGTGAAACTGCAGTAAACTGCGCGAAGGGCGAATCACTCATCCCGAGGCTGCCAAACCATAATTAAACCTCAAAGAACCTGGCCTTTATGATTCCATGCTGAGACGCAATCATGGCACAATTGCCTGTGAAGTCGAGGTCTATACGATTTTGGGAAGGGTGTTTATCCAGTTAAAGATCTAAACTGGCAAAGAACCATCGTGCTTGGGAAAGCGCTGGGCGTGTGATTTCTTCCACAAACTTGGAGAAAGTTTAACTGCCGAGAGCGAGAGTTGGTATCATGCACATTATAAACGAAAATAATTCATTTACGTCGGTCTTTCAAGTGCTTACGGGGATACAGTTTGCGCCTGGTCTATGAGACTGTCCAGGACGTCGAATGACAACAGGTAGGTCGCCACGAAAAATGTTTAATTATGATGGAATTATGGGAATACTCGCTCCGTTGTGTCTTTGGAGTCAATCTAAAGTCCACCTAGGCAAATGAATGGCGACCATGAATGTGTGCTGAAAGAACTAACGAAAAAGAAGACTGGAGTGACCGTTTTCGCCTATCATAACCCGGCAGTGCTCCACCCCAAACTTTCGGCCACTGACGCTCGATTCCGCGTTTTTTGTTTATTAGTGCAGCTACGGGGCTACCGACAAAGATAAGGCAGAGTGAGATGAAGATTTCTGGCTTTTTAGCTGCAACCAGTCAGCTACACTCGACCCTGGTTATTACGTAACTTGGGACTCGAACCAGTGTCCGTTCACGCACATGGGATCCGAATCCAGGATCTTAAGTCGTCCAGTCGAACGCTCTATGATTGATCCACGAGCCTGTTTTCCTGTCGGCTACTATCATCCATTGGGTTACTGGGCTTGCTCAGGACTACGCGTCGGCCACCAGAACTCCGAGCACATCTCATGTAGCGAGGAAAGAGTTTCGCGGAAATTAACGGACCGTTTTCAGAGAAGTCAGCCTGATCGGCTAGCCGTTTTCCTTCGGGCAGGATAAAGGGAGACATTTCGTCAGTTACATTAGTCGACTTTATACATGGAAGGAATTGAGGAGTTAATGGGTTCGAAACTTCCTAAAGTTCAGTACTGCAACAAAGCACATTCGAGGCAGAAAAGGAATAAATCCGGCCATGAGACTTCCAATAGGCCAGTAAATCTTGCAACGCGGGACCGGCTGAATCTGTCATTATGAAGGTCGCCACAAGTATATGTGCTTTCTCATGAAATATTAACCGAAATCCTGAAATGTGTTCTTAGTCAGAAAGAATTACTAAAGCAGGATTCCCTAATAACAATTCTGGTGAGAATCTACACAGAATCTAAGCAGAGGGTTAGAATATTCTACGCAGAATCCGCGCAGAGGTTGTCATACTTTTCTTATTTGAATCCGAGTAAGGCACGGCACAGAATCTGTGCAGAGGCTCGGCGTAGAATCTGGAATTTATCATGTCGCATAATGCAAAGATGTTCCAATCACGTAAACGATGCCGGCTTTCGAACGAGCTCCTTATCAACCGCCTGCATAAACAATTTTTCGTAAAAAATGATTACTTATGTAGTGTGGAATTTTCCCATTGATTCTGGATGTACTAATACATTCAAACATATGTCATAGAAGACATGCACAAAAATGCTCTTTCTATCACCCATTGCGTATCAAATTAATCCTTCTTCAGGTTTCATACTAGAAGAAAGAGCACCTTTCAGGTTTAAAAAAACTTTCTCAATTCCCGAGAAATTTTGAATCCGACATACTGTAACACTTGCATTCAAGGTTTACAAACTACAAGCTGTGTGCTTTCGCGTGAGGAAAATCATAAATGACCATAGGCTATTTAGAAGCCGGAATATATGGGCTCATAATCTTATAACTTGTGCGGGCCACGTCGTCTACTTTACAAGCTACACTACTAAACGTGCTAGGGCTATGCTGTATGGTCTGAAAATAACCATGTGACAAGAAAATTTTTTGAAACCGAACGATACTTTTTGTTTTAATATAAAATTTGGAGGATACGTAAGTCACCACAAAACGAATAAAAGAAAAAAGTATTTTGTGCACGTTTTCCATGTAATTTATTTGAATTTATATGAGTGCCGAAAATCAATAGGAAGTCATGCTATTTAAGCAGTCATTTTAACGGAATATAGTTTATGCAAGCCGTTGATAAGAAGCTCATTCAGAAGCCAGTATCGTGTCGGGACCGGAATATCTTAACATAATGTGACAAGGTGATTAATATGACCACCTTACTTGCGTAATCTTCTCGAAGTGAAAACCCACTTTAGAATTTCAGTCAGCATTCCATGAGATGGCATTTAAACTGCATGCATATAAGTACGGAAAGGCGACTTATCTTTGCAGCAGAAAGCCACCCACCGGGTCACCTACATCCTAAAGGTCCTGTTAGGACGGACATCGAGTGAACGGATAACGGCGGGACTGCCCTGTAAACATCACATTTCTCTATGCAGAGGTCCCTCTTCCGGTCTACTGGCGGCAACTCTTCACGTCGTCCTAGCCGTACCACGTTTACTTAGAGGCTGGTTGCGTTTTCAGCCTTCTGTGGACGTACTTCTTCAGCCTCGTCTCGTCAGTGGTTCGATTTGATGGTGGGATTGATGCCTTGATGGCTACCGTTAACTACAGAGCTCGGCCTCAGGGAATGCTAACATCGTCAAGTACGGTGACATCGCACTGAGGACTCGTCTCAACGTACAAATTAATGGCGGCAGGGGTTAAGTATATGAGCGGGATGGGGAAATGCCAAATGTTGTTTAACAAATTCATCAACATTTTCATACTCCCGCTTTACAGACGGACGTTTGCATTCCCTCTACCATTATTTTGAGTATTTTTTACCACCTGGCTGCCCTCCGCCCTGGACTTTTTTTCTAAAAATTGACTTGTCCTCTTACTAAAGAATTACGTTTGGCGTTTGCAGAACAATGAACCAATGTAGACATTTCAGCAGTACCGGTGCAGGTCAGCGAATGTCATCCTGCCGGCGAAGGGCCAACCGAGGATTCCGCAGAACAACGCCTTTGAAAAATATAAGTGGTTCTCCATAGTTCTTTCGTACCCCGCGCATGAACTTAATCTCTACTCTCATGCTTCCCGGAAGGATTCGCCTCCACCCATGGGCTCCCCATATCTGGGCTGATTGATGGCGTGGTTTTTCAACGGATAAGACACTTGGTGTTCACCAAGTATCAACCGTTACGTCGACAATACCTTCGTCGTTGTCAAATCACCTGAGGAGGCGCACGTTAAAGAAATATTTAATTCGGTTGGTCGGAATACCCAATTCACGATGGAGGCTGAAACTAACGACCAACCTCCCCCCTTCCTCAATGCCCTTGTGCGCCGGTGCGCAAATGCAAACACCAACACAAGACGAATATTGTACTTCAACAACAATCATTCCCCTCTCACAAACGCAGATATGTCCGCACTTTATTCCGAAAAGTTGAAACACTGCAATACACTGGCCGGCAAAAGAGCGGAATGACAACACCCTCAAGACCTATTTCGGGCAAATGGATACCCAAACTATTTTATCAAACAAATCAAGCGCCGAGTGAACAGATGACAGCCACTTTTGACTATACAGTAGGTGGGCTAGCTCATGAAATGTCAACCAAAATTCCGAAATGCGTTTTCGTTTCGAAAAGATTAATTAAGTAGGGTTGTAAAACTAGTCAGCCTGCAATATAATTCTATAATATTTCTGTTAACTAAGGATGTCGGCTTCCGAATGAACTTCCTTCCGGCTGCACACAAAAACTACACTCTGTAAAAAATGACTACTTAAGTAGCATGCATTTTTCTCATTAATTTTCGATGTCCTTAAAAATTCAATTATATTTCACGGAAAACATGCATACAAATACTCATTCTTTTCCTCATTCGGTAGAAAATTACGCCTTCTTCTAATTTTATACTCCAAGGAGGGACATAATTCGGTTTTAAAAAGTTTCTAATTGTGGGACTTTTAAATACCGTGAAATGGCCGTTCATAAATCGTCATGTCTTTGCATTTACCAATGTGACCGGGCCTCGTACAGCTCATGTATTTTATGCTTACTCCTCACACGACTACAGTGCTCTTAATTGGCGTGTTTACGTCCTTTATTCCTCGGCTACGATTCAGTTGCCGATGAAAGAAAGGTTGCAGACAGAACAAATGACTTAGTATTACTAGCAGCACAGGTACTAGCCAAAAGCCCATACACGCGTGTTTCGCCGATATTCTGCCGCTGGATGACACAGCTGCGAGGGGTTCGGCTCTTCAGTGTGTCCCCCAGCATTCTTCGTGTGCATTCTGGTAGATACTCCAGTTTACACATCGTTGTTTGCCAATAGAAGCGAACAGACGAGTCCCAGGAAGCAGTCTTGAGGAACAAGTTCTGAACCGAAGTTCTGGGCCCGGTATGTGGATGATACCTTCGTCGTCATCGAACGGGATCAACTGCTGACATTCAAGGAACATCTGAATGCGGTCGTCCCGGACATACAATTTACGATGGAGGAGGAAGAGAACAACCAGCTGGATTCCTGGATGTCCTCGTACGCAACAAGCATCGTGGTAGACTAAAGCCAATGGCTACCCACGCAACTTTGTCAACCGGTGCATACGCAAAAGGGACAAAAGGCCTAACCACACGAACACCAAGGTTTGGCGAGCGCTTCCATATGTCAAGAACGTTTCGGAAGCTGTCGACCGTCTCCTCGCACCACTTGGGGTTGGAGTTGCACACAGACCGGAGGCAATCACCAGGCGTCAGTTAACGAAACCGAAAGACCCACTGCCACGGCAAGAAAAGTCTGGAGTCGTTTATCGGATCTGGTGCAGTTGCGGACAAAGCAAATACGTCGGAGAAACCGGAAGACAACTCCAAACGCGAATGGCTGAACACGCATCAGCGGTGCGGAGAAATGACGCTAGTTCTCAAGTTGCGGCTCATTCAACGGGTTCCGGCCACACATTCAAATTTGACGAGGCCGAAATTCTCGCAAGAGTTGACAACCGCGTGAGCCGGGAGCTGCTTGAGTCATGGTTTACTGGTCCCCAGTCTATTAACAAGTGCAATGATCTTCCCATTCAATACAGCGTGCTGAGACTTCGTCTAGGCGGAGAAATTGGCCACGCGGGGAGCGCACAAGTGAACACTTTTCCCAACACCCGGGTCAGCGCGTCAGATGGTCGAGCAACCATCACACCAACATCCAACGCACATGATGAAATTGCGGCAATTAACGACGCGAATGTCGGCCGCCACGCCACGCGCAACGATCCCTGATGAAGGGGGGGGGGGGGGAAGCCGTGAATATTCATAGGTATGCGGTAACATGGCTACTGCATCCTATAAATACTGCAGCCGCTTATGCATGAACCACCCTTATCTGCTTTTGTCTCTGATGATGGATTCGAGCAGGAAACCGAAACGTCAGGCTAATATAGCTCTTGTCCCGGCGATCGTGTCTTCTTCTTCTTCAACATCGTTGTTTGTTATTTCCTCAAAAATTACCTGCTGACTTAGAGCAGATGTGTCTAAACAAAGGCCTACAGGCGCAGAGCAAGGCTTACGGGTCCGAATCGTCAGTCAGTGTATTTGAGGGAAATAGGCTTACGCCTTTGAACTCCCTATCGTGCTCTCAAAGTGAGCCTGGTGCAGTGCCTATGCTCGTTAACGGATTTCAGCGGCAGGACAGAACTGCGTGAAGATAAAAAAAAACGTGCCACCCTCTGGCCCTTAACAGCACCACAGTCGGTTCTCGCGACAGGGTCTTTGGCCCTGGAGTAGCCGTAGTAACAGAACTCTGCTCACCCCTCTCAAGGCAGCTTACTGACAAAGTCCGTAAGGACTGCAGTGACATTTTGGAGCCGGAACTCACACTTGAAAGATTCAAAGGCTCGAGCTCGGACACCTTGGCCGCCCCCCAGTGAGATTGCGTCGACTGTGACGAGGAGCGCCCAAAGTCACGAACGGCCGATTCTGTCTTGCCTTGGAGTTGCAGTATAGAACCCTCCTCCACCGAGACAGGCAATAAGTAGTCGGGGTTGCCGACACAAACAGACACTTCGAAGTGAGCCGTCATTATGTGAGGGCCACTGCCGTGGCACCTTGACTATTCTCCACTCATATCAAAACAACGCGAGTCTACAACTCAGCGGCGGAATGTCTGGAGCGCCCAGTACAGAGAGCCTTGAACAAATAAGTGCGCAGTTGACGAAATTCCGAATTCTGATACCCACCCCCCCGCCCTATCAGTTTAGGCACGTCGTGCGCAAACCGCATTGTCCCGTCCCCAGACGGGAGGAGATACCCGAGATAGTTACTGATACAGGAACACTGTATGCATGGCTAAACAAAGACGATTTCATCGAATGCAGACACAGTCGAGTGATTAGTAAACAGTATGGGACGGGGGGGGAGGACGAGGACCGGATTATGGGCAGCGGAGGGGGGGGAGGAGGAGGTAAGATACGATGGAGCGAAAGAAAAGCTGACAAGACAACGGAACCAGTGTTGGCAGCATCAACGGGTGTGAATATATGCAAGTTGCGCAAACAAGTATAGACAGGCGAGGAGTGCTGGCGAGCGCGCATGCGCATATGCACGCACGGACGCACGCACAGAAACACTTCTATGTGGACATCACAGTTCTGCGTGGGTGGGATAAGATCAGTCAGAGTACACGGGGTTGGCGGGTTGTGTGCGGGCGTGTGTGTGCATCACATCGGGGAGAAAAGGAGGGCGGATACAACTTAGGAGGTGCAGGAGGGGGGGGGGCGGAGGAACCAGGGGATTCCGCTGCCGCACGTCAAGGTGCAGCCTCCGGCTTGGCAACGTTGGACATGGAGGCGGTCACCCCAGTTGGTGCGATGGCGGCGGCCGAGGAGGAGGAGGAGACCGTTGAAGGCGGCGACGGCGGCGTGCCGGAAGCACGGAAGAGGGCGAGGTAGATGATGGCTAAGAACACGAGTAGCATGAGGACACCGATGGCAGCCAGAACTGCCCGATTTTGGATCATTCTAGAGTGCAAAAATAGGCGGTCAGGGGGTTTAGGAGGGCCGCAATTTGTCGAAATATTGGTGGCAAAATGCGTGCAGGAATGGGAGGCCTTATGATAAACAGCAGAGGTAGGTAGGAAGAGGCAGGAGTGGGTTTGGTGGTGGTAAACAAACCCCAGCCGCCCGTAATACGCGAGCGGTGGTAATAAGTTTTTGCAGGTGGGGCCGGAGAACGCGCAGGCGTCTAGGTCAAGTAATTGTATGCAAAGGAAAAGCTATTGGAAATGTGCGGTTATCCTAACCGCTAAGCTTAGGCCCCAACCTTTAACCGCAGCCCTAAACAAAAACTCTGAAATATCCAACGCGAAAATTAGGAGACGACAGGCTGAAAATCAAGAAGTACCATCGGCATTGGGCCGAAAAAGGTAGACACGACAACCAACAAACAAGGCCGCCAACAGAACACACCGCAACGCCCAGCAACACAATGTCTATGTAATCACACCAACTCAAAATAATTAATCAGGTCAACAGTATTGTGTACATCAGGTGCGGCTGCATAACCACATCTTACCAAATTGGCGCCAATGACAGAAAGGGAACTAGACGCCCAGGTGGAGCTTGCGGAATTCACGTGCGACGATGCTAAACGCAGATTGTTCCACACTAGATAAACGATTTTTCCCCAGATAAGTACTGAATCCCGGCGCCGTTCGACGGCACGACAAAGAAATATGCAGTAGTCCCTCGTGATATAGAGCTTCGACTTTTAAAGTATCGCTCTATCGCGGATTTTGCATGCGAGTACATCTAAATTACATACAGCAGATTTTCACTGATTCGCGGATTTCTGTGGACAAGGAGCCTTTTTATTTCCGGCACATGCTTCCTCAATTGGCTTGCCCACTTCACCAAATACGCAGAACGCCATTGGGGCATGGCTGAGGAGCTACCCAATTAGAGCACGCGGTTTAGTATCCTAATTCAAACGTATATAAGAGAATATAAAGGGTCTATGCTATGTGTATGTGTGATGAATGCTTGTAAGAATGTGGAAGGTTTTGTGAGGGTCTTTGTACGCCGAAAACCTGATGGATCCCTTCAGATTTCCGTTTATCGCAAAGAAGCATATTCAGCGGTGATCCTACATTTTGAGAGTAACCATCCCGTTTCGCACAAGAGCAGTACCGTCTACAGCCTGCTAAACCGAGCCAAAATACACTGCTCTGATAAAGAAAGTTATCAAGCAGAGATAAAATACCTCTTCAGATTATTTTCCCACAACGGTTGTCCGCGTGACTTCGTACGCCACTGCATGAAACAGAAAGGTATTTCGGACACTACGGCCACCCAGGCACCAAAAACATTTACCTGGTGGACTCTTCCATACGTGAAAAATTACTCTGAGATCGTTGAAAGGCAGCTGGAAAAACATCAGACACAAGTAGCGCACAAACCGGCACTAGCTTGCGTACAGAGCTTGTACACCCTAAGGACAGGGTTGACTATCTCGTTAGGAAAGGTGTTGTCTACAAGATCCCGTGTGCCAGTTGTGATGCCATCTATTGTGGTCAGACTGGAAAGTCCCTCTTAACCCGCATACATGAGCATCAGTTGGCGGCGAGGAGACGAGATCATGTATCCCAGGTGGCTAGCAAACGCTGAACACTGGACACAAATTTGCATGGGAGAACACTCGCATTGTTAGCGCCTGCCCAATGAGGAAAGACGGCGAATTTCTGGAAGCAGTGCACTCAAATGAGGCATGCATCAATCGGCATAGCGACTTAGATGCCACATTTACGCAATAAAGGTTATTTTTGTTCCCAAATAATCCTACCTATTTCAAATATACATAATCATAAAACACATGACCTTAGCGGATTTTCACTATTCGCGGGGAATTATAGGACGCGATCCCCGCGATCGAGGAGTGATCACTGCACTCCTTATCCTGGTTTCGAATGTCTTGGTTGCTAGCGGTTCGCGCTGACGTTCAGTTAGGCATACCACAAAGGGTGTTGGGACGGGTCGGAACTCGACCTACTGGTCATGTTGTCCGACAGGCATGGGAGGCAGGGAACCGCCACCACGCCGCGGGCCAGTCTCATCTACCAAGTCAGCGCGTGAGTCAGAAACTGACACAACGTCGGGTCATGCGCGACCTTCCGGCGCTGGCTACTCGACGGGGGTCCGACAATGCTGGCGCGAAGAGCTGAACCGATTGGAACTCGCGAATCAGAAAAGGATATATTTCCTAAATACGTGCGATCGACAGAAGGGTTACGAGTTGGTGTAACGTAGTTAGGTAAACAGCTGCCACCCACGCACGTTCGGGACCCTGCCTACTGCAAACAGCAGGAAGTATGAGCGGAGGTGGTGGTGGTCCACTCGACATTCTACAAAACTTTTTTAAAGGCGAAAACAGAATTCAGTCCACTGACAAAATCTGAGAAATATGCATCACCGTGCCTTCAACGAAGAGCAACTCCTCGGGCTCATGCAAGTTAGTCGCAGATTGCGGTTGGAATAGATAAGCGAAGCCTACAGCCTGCTGATGGTACCAAAACGATCAAGCATATTCTCTGTTTAGAATCCGGTCTGAATAGAATAACACCCTGAAAAGCAATCTGGAGTAGTGTATCGCATTCCGTGTCAAAATTGACCTTGTAACTACACAGGGCAGACTGGGCGTATGCCCGGATAGCACATACACGAACACAAGCTGACTGTGCGACGAGACGACGTATTATCACAAGTGGCCGCCCACACCTACGAAATGGGTCACGAGTTTAACTTCGCAGCCACCAAAATAGTCGCCCACGCCGGAAACAAAACAGGCCGAGAATTGATTGTAATCACAAGCCAAGCCCTAAAACTAACCTTAGCCCTGAACCCAATCTCCCTGGAAACCATCGCAAGATTCCCAGGATGGGCGGGGAGGGCAGTTGTATTTCTGTGTCCTGCTCCTGTATCATTAAATACTACGTGCCTCGCAGTTGCCATCTCATCCACAGTGATTAGTACTCAAAAGTCTGAAGGTCGTTGTTTCATGCGAGGCTCGACGGACGCACGCGCCCACACATACTGTACCTACTTTACCGCTTCCATTCATCCAGCTCTCCGATTTCTCTCCTCCTCCTTCTTCTTCTCCGCTTATCACCTCTTCCTGCCCCCATCGTACAGTACTCCTCCCTTCCCTGCATCGCTGCCGCTCTGTCAAGTCGCTTTCCAGAATAACCGTCTTGTTCTCTCTTCTCACCCCTTCCACGCTGCTTTGTTTCCCCAGTCAAATCTCTCTCTCAATATATATATATATCTCCTCCCTACCCCCTCTGCACTCACTCGGACCTCTCTCCCAGCCCAGCCTGCACAACCCGCTTCTCCCACGTCTACCAGTCCCTTCCCTTTCCCCGCCTTTCCCGTCCAATTCACACTCAATCCTCTGATTCTCGAGACATCCAATAAGACCGCTACGACATGCAGTGGCCTGCCAAATCTTTTGACTGTCGGGACCGACGGTGAGAACGCGCGGTGGGGATGGAGGGGATGCTGGGCGGCAGTTTGCAGGGAACCAAAAGTGCGTAGATGGCATTCTGTGCCAAGTCGCGTCTCCGATAAAACACGCGAGACGGACAGACGGAGGCAGTAGGTCTTTTAGAGGCTGCGACGTCACTCAACTCACAATTGCAGCTTCCCCCTGCAGAGAACTGATCCATCTGGCCGACGCCACCTACCGATAACGGCCGTCAGTCTTGCATTAGCTATGCACACCAGCGCCGGGGATGATGCGTGTACCCCGCATATATCTCGGAGGGAATCTACGGGAACTGGCGATAGCAGGGCACTAGGCAGTGACGGTACTGTGCACGAGAAGCATATCAAAAGAAGGAGAGGAGTACACTAGGGGCACAGTTATATTACGACGCATCAAACGGCTCTCATTACGTGGCGCGTGGGTTGCATGCATACTGCACCTGACGTGTGGATGGACAGCATTAGTTGTGGGCGCTTATCGAACTCCCAGTTTCTCCATCTTGGGCGATCATTAGTGACCCCGGTGGTCTCACGTGATGACCGTTTCTTTTCGAAAAGACAGTTAGAATGCAGGCAAGAAAGTACGATCGTTGATTGGACGGCCAGCTGACCTTCAGGTTTTTCCTTAATGTGTTTTGATGATCAGATGTGGTTAAGTAGCCACATCTGAAGTAAACAAACCCCAGCCACCTCTAATACGGAACCGGTGGTAATAAGGGTTTTTTTACAGTTGGGGCGGGGGAACGCACAGGAGACGAGGTCAAGTAGTTGTTTGCAAAAGAAAAGCTATTGGGAATACGCGGTTGTACTTAGGGTGGTTGAGAAATAGTTGCCTTAACCCCTAACCCCAACAGTATTGTGTCCATCAGGTGGGGTTATATGACCAGATCTTACCATTTTTGACAACCCACAATCTCAACCACCAATTCCGACCTGACCAGATGTGTGTGTCGGAGAAGTATTTTGGCATAGTGTGATTATCCAGACACCAGTGGAGGAGATACGGCAAACAGTCAACTAAGGCAACAATCGCTGACGCGGCGACCCCCGCTGTTATGGATACGCCTGTGATCGATTGACCTATGAGGCGTCTGAAGGTCCAGGGCCATTGTGGAAAATTGGGGCGTGTATGACGGGTACATGTCGGGGCTAAAGGCGGCCCCTCTCCTACCTATGCAGTGCCATGCGATCCCCCCTCCGAGGAAGAAGTCGCCGATGCCATACGAAAGTTGCGCAACAATAAGGCACCCGGAGAGGACGGTATACCCGCTGAAATCTTTAAGTCTTGTGTCGACACTCTGGCGCCCTGGCTCCATGAGGTGATTGAACGAGCGTGGAGAGACGAGGTTGTTCCTGATGACTGGAGCTTAGGCATCCTTGTACCTATCCTCAAGAAGGGAGATAAGACGAGATGCGAGAACTACCGCGGCATAAGTCTCATCGACGTTGCTGCGAAGATCTTCGCTATTGCCCTACTCAGACGATTCCAGGCTGTGCGTGACTCAAGGACGAGGCCCAACCAAGCCGGATTTCGTACTGGACGTGGATGCGCAGATCAGATATTCACACTGAGGCGCATTCTCGAATTTCGCCATAGCTACCAACAACCGACGGCCGTCTGCTTCGTTGACTTTGCTGCCGCGTTCGATTCCGTTCATCGTGAGTCCCTGTGGCGGATAATGGCGCTAGATGGTGTACCGGCAAAAATCATCGCCATGATCAAGGCCTACTATCGTTCCACTACTGCGAGAGTCCTGGTCCGTAACAATTTTGCCCAACCGTTCGGTATTCGGTCTGGCGTCCGACAGGGTTGTATCCTGTCACCCATACTGTTCAACTACGCTATTGACTGGATCCTCGGGTGGGCCCTACGCGACAGTGACGGTGTTGAATTTGCACCCGGACATCGACTGACTGATCTCGACTATGCCGATGATATCGCCTTACTTGCTTCACATTTTGGTGATCTACAGTCTATGGTGTCACGGGTGAACGAGGTCGCTAAATCAGTCGGTTTATCCATAAACGCTGGGAAGACCAAAGTATTCTCAAGTTGCATCCGTGACCAGGAGAAGGCACCCCTGGGGATTGATGGCTGTCAACTTGAAGAAGTGGACAGTTTTAAATACCTCGGGGCGCGGCTGCTGCCTAATGGACAGAGTAAGGACGACATTGTCTCCCGAATAGATGCTGCCCGCTGGGTTTTTTCAAGCCTTCGGAAATGCCTGTGGAACCGGCGTGACCTCTCCATCGCCACTAAGATTCGCGTGTACCGTGCATCTGTCCGGTCTGTCCTTCTCTACGGTTGTGAATGCTGGGCTTTGCGCGTGGCGGATGAGCGAAAACTGGAGGTATTTGACCACCACTGCTTGAGGACCCTCCTTCGAGTGAAGTTCACCGACTTTACCTCAAATGAGACAGTCCGCGCTCGCTGCGACAACATCGCGAGGATAACTCAGGCCATCCAAGAAAGACGACTGAGGTGGTTTGGGCATGTTCTTAGTCGTCCACCTCAGGAGCTCAGTGTTACTGCCCTCGATCCGGCACCGTTGCCCCATTGGAGGCGTCGAAGAGGGGGTCAGTTCAAAACCTGGCTCGACACTGTCCGTCAAGACATGGAGGTGGTTCTTGGACCTTCGGTATTCGGTCTCCGTCGTTGGCGAAGGGAATGGGTTGAGCTGTCTAGATCTGCTGCCGCGGATCGTCACGCGTGGAGAGGTACAATTCGGGACATCACCGAGGCCGGCTAGATCAGGCATGATCGCAGCCGTATCAAGTACAAGTACAAGTAAGTAAAGGCGGCCGGGGCTTCGACATGATGGACTCGCAAGCTACCAACCAAGTCTATGCATGATGAGACAGTGTGGTTGCAGCGGGGAGAGATTGGAAGTAAATCGAAGTGTTGGTGGTAGGGACAATGGATGTAATGCTTTGGTGGCAGCGTGGCACGGTTTATCCTGCCGCCGCCGCCGCTGGCCGTCCTGGCTCTGTCTTGCCACCAGGAGGAGAGTACGGTGGATGCTTCGCAAGCTGCCTTCACTAGAATCTAATTAACACTCAATTCGCTGTTCTGTGTCTGGGATATGCGAAGCATAAGCTAGCAGCTGTCCTTTACGACGGTCAAACTGACTGGGTAGACTTACATTTTCCGTTCAGGAGCTCGACCCCGAGACGGCGACCTGCGTCCCTGAGGTTACGACCACACATCAAAACATACGAAAGAAGCCTGGACGTCAACTGACTGCTTACTCAACAGTTACACACGTTTGTTCGCATCCTAACTGCCTTTTCAGACCTACTCGAGAAGAGACAAAGGCCACAAAATGGCACCATGGTCAAGGAGAATGGCGGCGACCGAGAACACATGCCGAAACCGCGGTTGCACTTACTTCTTACCTGCTTCCTGGGACTCGCATTTTCGGTGATCAGATTACGCGACATGCTCGTCTAGAGGGCAGTCGCGTGACGACCGGTACTGACAAGGACGAGGAAGACTGTGTTGATCACTTCTCGGTTGACTTAGACGTCAGTCATGCCTAACCCGGAGAGCAAACCCCAGTTGTGATGATTGATCGCCAAAAACAGTTTGTTGCCGAAACATAACGCGCTAGTCACCTCGGTGGGGTGGGGGGGGGAGGAATTGATAAACACGCGAGAAAAGGCGACAGCAAATTACACGGAAAGTGGTCATCAAACTCGCTGGAAGCATGGGAGGCATATAACCTTTCGACTGTGTGAAAGTTGATCGATATTCCCGTCTGCTAGGCTTACAGGGCGAAGGCCCGGTCAGTCTACGTGACTGTTTTGCTGAGGGAGTGTGAGACAGACCTCTTATATGCACAAAATTGACGATACGATGACACTGACCTAACACACGCTCTAACCATTTAAAGAATGTGCCAAGAGGCTGTCGTAGACTCTCCTGGTATCCTTGGAAAGCTGCTGACTTAAATCGAACAGCAGGGGAACCGGTGACAGTACCTCACGGACGAGAAAAGACGGTAAGGCACATTTGCAGTTAAAGGTCGGATGGGTGGATGCATCCGTCTAGATTGGGGCCAGCCTGTGCCCAGCAGTGGGCGATGCCAAAACTTACCTAATTTTGGTATTACCGACAAAGACAAGGGAGACTGGAATGGCCATTTCTGGCTTATTAGTCGTCGTCAGTCAGTCATGCCCAACCCCCCGAAGGGTGGAACACCTGAGGCTCGATCCCGCGACCTGTTAGTTAGGAGTCCAACGCCACTAGCGACTGAGCCACGGGCTCGTTGTCCTGTCGGTTGCGATCGGGAATATACAATGGTAGGGGGTGCTCACCTATCGTTCTTACGGAACTCACTCGTCCTGTTGTGCCTTATGGGCTCTCCCTCTAGCCCAACCAGCAGCCGCACAGCGGTGCATGATATAGGCAGAACGTTATTACCGACAAAGACAAGGAAGTCTGGAGTCACTGTTAATCATGCCTAATCAGTCTCAAAATCACGCGCTTTCTGGGAACAACGGAATGATTGAAAAGAAAAGACTAAGAGGCATCCTGGCGGTGCGGTTGTGCGACCATGAGAACCTCCAACGCACAGAAACGTTCTGTCCTCATAAGCGAAAGCTAACAACTCGGGCAGCAGTGTCAGGTCAATTGTGCTACTGTGAGATCTGTGAATTAAGAAAATGGCTGGATGTGCGATTCCAGCCCGGTTGTCAAAATACAGAGGGCGGGGGAGGGGGGTGGAGGAATGGGAGAAAGGCGAACTGGAGGAAATAGGGGCACCTAGGGGTTTGAACCTAACTAAGCCAGTAATGGGTGAAAAGAAGTCAAAATCTGCGTGATCTGACGACTGGGGATGCCTACGCAACGTAGGGGACGACAATCATTAGTCAGACGCCCCCGAAAGAAGGCATAAGTGCCTCTGATGGATCGCTTTTACTTTTCAACGGTGGACAGTGGACGGTGTACAGACTTACCGGCGGTACATGCTGGAAATGATGCGGGAACTCTTTGAAAGGTCTTCATTCGCATGACGCAGCTAGAAAAAGAGATGAAAGCAGTGTCATCTGTCGATCAAATGGTTCAGGGAGAGGAGAATTTTGACTAGTTGCAGGGAAAAACCTGATATTTTAGCACGGAACCAGTCGGTCATTTAGTTCAACACCCTACCAGCTGGGCCATCGGATAGGGCAATGTCAGGAATATGTCATGTCGCACGGAAGCGGTATCGACCAATCGGGACTGATTGCAGGACGTAATAGGGGGGGGGCTCCGTTTCTCAATAGGACAAGATGATAAAGCACTGCCAGGTGGATAGTCCTAACCGGTTTGAGGAAGGGCGGGACATGACGCAACCAGCACAAAATGAGATGCGCATTTAGACACAGGGGGTGACCGTTGAAACGCGTTTGAAAGACTGAACTCGCGACAAGTGCTTAAATCTGTTGACAGACCCGCTATAATGGATAGATGGCCACGGGTCATGCTGGGGAAAACCCCATAATTAGACGTGGATGGTAGGTTTGACAGCATGCAGCTCTGTTCCCAGTAGTAAAAGTACTAAGTGAAGAAGAAGAGTCGAGCACCGGAACACTTCGTTTATTGTCCTGAGCTTTCAGACTCGTACAAGAGTCCATCGTCAGAGGTAGCAGCAGCAACAGAACAAGCGACAGTTATAAGGCATGTAGGCCAATCATCGACCGATGGCGCAAGTTTGGAGGTGACTACGCAGGGCTCAGTACGCCGGCGCCAGATCGATAAATCGATTGATCTAGTTCTCATCCGAGGCCCAGACTTCAATCAATTCTCGGCCTGTTTTGTTTCCGGCGTGGGCGATTACCTTGGCGGCTGCGAAGTTAAACTCGTGACCCATTTCGTAGGTGTGGGCGGCCACTTGTGATAATGCGTCGCCTTGTGGCACAGCCAGCTTATGTTCGTGTATGCGCGATCCGAGCATGCGTCCTGCGTAGTCACCTCCAGTCCTGCGCCGTCGTTCGATGATCGGCCTACATGCCTTATAACTGTCGCTTGTTCTGTTGCTGCTGCTACCTCTGACGATGGACTCCTGCACGAGTCTGAAAGCTCAGGACAATAAACGAAGTGTTCCAGTGCTCGAATCTTCTTCTTCACTTATGCATACACCTGGAACTCGAAATTCCGCGATCATTAGTAAAAGTACTATTCTGGGGCAATCGAAACGCCAAGTAGCACATAGCATCAGGGCGAGGACGGTGGTTTCGAGGTGGATAGCAATCCTCGGAATGGCTCACAGGGACTGATAGGAAGATCTCAGCAACAACTTGCCTCCTTGTCTACACATCGGTATGGGAAATACGCGCCATGCTAGGCTATGAGCACCTTCAAGAACCCCCTGGCACGATCGCATACCCCCGACCCAAGCTGCAGTTGTGGCTATGTTTACGGTTAGGATTAAGGTGTAGATAGCGGAGTAGTGTAAGGGATACGAGGGAAGACCTAGGGCTGGGTTGAGAATTGCAGCTAGGGTCCGACCTAGAACCCTAATTCCAATAACTTGTACTAAATCCTCACACTAGTTCCAACACTAATCACTAACCCCAAACGATAACCCTAATTCACAGATGTTTCGGCAGATTTTTAATAATTCATATTGACCCAACTTTGAGAAACTCGGCGCCTCGGTAGGATTCCAACCCACGAAAGCAAGGGAAAGGTTTTAGTACAGCCAACGCTCTAGCCACTTGAGCTACGAGGCCCCACCGGAAGGCGTGAGTTTGATCATATTTGGGTCAAATCACCAGCCTAACCTACTGCAACGTCTGGAATCCACCAAATCTGATACAGCAAGTTGACTGCCCAAGCAGGATTTCCTAAGGAATTCACCCAGAATCCGGGCGATCCTAATCCCAATTCCAGCTAGGAAAACTGGTTTTACTCCATGCTACACCAACATGTGATGAGGGTGCGGCCACGGTGAATACAACTACTTCACAGTCAGGCTGGATGTTGTACAGCGCGACCACAGATAATGGGATAGTGAGATGGCCCTCCAGTCTTGCCACCAAGAAGCCCCGCACCGCGCAGCGGTAGTACCTTCAGGCGCGGCTGGAAACCGCTCTGATAGGCCATAAACATGCTGCAAGCCATAGCGGTCTAACCAAATGGTAAATGTTACCTACCAGCCGATAATGCTTCAGTTGGCGTTTGGTATTGTCCTTGCATCTTCGACTGTTGGATGGGGACGCCCCAGCCCCCCCCCCCCCGTTCGGGCAAGAATCACGGAGTAGCACGCCACGCGACAGCTTTCCGGTGAGTAACAGCACTAGATGACGAGGGGTATGGTCCGCGCGCTTTGTGGTTGACCTTCCGAGCGCCAATGATACCGCAAGGATCAATTTGCCACCCAACAACAAGTCTAGCGCTGACCATCGACATACTCGCAGTTGGTCCACATCGCGAACCGCCAGTACGGCCAACAACCTACCTACCTCGGTTCCACGGACTTTGTCTCTGCCCACTGGGATTCGCGCGACTGGTATGCTAACGGGATTGCTCTACCTGATCAAAACCCCGACTGACAAAACAAGGGCTACAGTTTGTGTTAATTATGAGAAGAGTGACTTCTTCGGTGACCGTCTGGGATGCGTTTTGCCACAAACGCAACTCAACTACGTGGCAGCTCCAACATGCACTCGTAAATCACTCTGCTGCTACGGCAGGTTGCTGCACGAATCCGGGCTGCGTCCATATTGTTGCGGTGCTGGGAAGCCCTCTTGTGAAAATGCAGTACGTTGTGTTTTAGATAGGCGAAACGGCAGCGCAATAGTCACTTTTAGTCTCACGATATCGCCTTACTTGCTTCAAGTTTTTGTGATCTGCAGTCTACGGTGTCACAAGTGAACGAGGTCGCTAAATCGGTTTATCCATAAACGCTGGGAGAACTAAAGCGTTTTAAAGCTGTATCCCTGACCAGGAGAAGGCACACCTCGGGATTGATGGCTGTCCACGTGAAGGAGTAGACAGTTTCAAATACCTCGGGGCGAGGCTGCTGCCTAAAGGACAGAGTAGGGACGACATCGTCTTCCAAATCGATGCTACCCGCTGGGTTTTCTCAAGCCTTCAGAAATGCCTATGGATCCGACGCGGCCTCTCCATCGCCACTAAGATTCGCGTGTACCGTGCATCTGTTCTTCTCTACGGTTGTGAATGCTGGGCTTCATGCGTGGAGAACGAGCGAAAACTGGAGGTATTTGACCATCACTGCTTGAGGGCCATCCTTCAAGTGAAGTTCACCGACTTTGTCTCAAATGAGACGGTCCGTGCTCGCTGCGACAACATCGCAAGGATAATTTAGGCCATCCAAGAAAGACGACTGAGGTGGTTCGGGCATGTTCATCGTCGTCCACCTCAGGAGCTCAATGTTACTGCCCTTGATCCGGCAGTATCACCCCATTGGAGGCGTCGAGGGGGGGGAGGTCAGTTCAAAACCTGGCTCGACACAGTTCGTCAAGACATGATGGTTCTTGAACCTTCGGTATTCGGTCTACGTCGTTGGCAAAGGGAATGGATTGAGCTGTCTAGATCTGCTGCCGCCGATCGTCACGCGTGGAGAGGCACAGTTCGGGACATCATCGAGGCCGGCTAGGTCAGGCATGATCGCAGCAGTATCAAGTACAAGCAAGTTTAGTTTCGCAGTCGTGGGGATCTGCTTTGTCGCTGTAGACGACTAGGCTCTTGAGCGAGTGGACAACTTCCGTTGCCTTGGATCAAAGTTTCTGTCCACCAAGAGAGCTTTAGAGACCCTCGACCGATTTCTTAGAAACATCTGGAGTCCGCATGAGACGAGTCCGAAGTCAAAGCTTCAGATATGCGAGACGTCAGATGCGGGAATTCTTCTATAGGATTGATAGACATTGTCCGTCAGCCCCGACGACATTCACCGCCTGCAAGTGGTCTGTGTTGTTTGCGCCATATAGAGATTCTTCCAACTAAAAAGTCAGTATATATTAACTGCACCCTGACTATTTGCGTAGCGAGATGGCTCAGTTGTAGGCTACGCCAACCTGAAGCCGAAGTTGTCGGGGCCGCCATTTTGGCACTTGCTGGCTACGACGTCGAGGTGAATTGGCGTGAAGAAAGTTGACCCTGAGGGAGGTCCTCGGTAAAGAAAGCTGGCGTGCCAGTCGGTTCAACTTAGAGCGGAAGTCTGCGGCCGACCGACTGCAATGGAAAGCAATCGCTCCTAATGTGCTGGACTCCAAAAATGTGGGCTGAATAATTTGTAACGGATGCTACTGTAGCGGGAGTCATCATAATCGGTCGGGTGATATTGTTCAAGACTTCGCTGCATCAAGGTCATTCACCCCTTGCAGCGAGCCGTCCCAGACGAGCTGACCTGAAGCCACTCGACCGAATTCAGCGCGGACACAATTGCGTCCACACAGCGTCGCGGCTACCCATGCGCCATCTGAACGCGCCACCCCCTGAAACCAACAAAACATGCCACTGGGACACCACCCCTCGGCCGACTGGACACCACTTGAGCTTGGCCCACGAGCCTACAAAAGCGGCTGCCACCACTGTCCCAAAGACTCTCAGGAATGACTGGACGCAGTCAACACCAGCCCTGGCTTCGCCAGTGGTCACTGCCGCCTGAAAGGACAACTCCGGGTTCTGTGCACAATAAAACTCTCATTCTGGTACCTTCCGTCTTCTCCTTACGACTTGGGATTCGACCTGGTGGTTGTAGCGCTCAGACCACGTATTCTCACTGCTGTGCCGCTACACTACTAAAAGTACAAGTACGGCCGATTCCGTGATTCCTAAATGGTTGTCTTCTATACGTCCTAGAGTCCATCCAAATGCCACTTTGTCCTCTGTCTATTGAATAAAATTCATATGGGTATCTGCTAACCGAAAGGGCAAACAGGATCATCTATCGCAGTGCTGTCAATGTATCGTTAGACAAGCAATAGGGGCGGTACAGTGTGCACTACATACCCGATCACGACTCCGCTGTAAGGTGTCTCGTTGGTGATCCAGGTCACTTAGTATCTGCCCACCGATCTCCTCGGTTTCGTAGGCAGTGCGGAGGCCCTCCTGAAGACGCCGACCCGTCCGTTCAACACGTTCCGTGTTGGTCAACAGGCCGGCTCGCATGTCGCTGTCCACTAGGAGTTCCTCGCGGAGGCCTGTCTCGTCAAAGGCGGAATTAGCTGGCGCATTAAGGCCGTAGCGTGGGCGCCGCTGTAAAAAAGCAGATGGATGGTCGAGAGTAAAATAGTAGTTAGCAGTATACGGACTTGGGCTGCCTCATTTCAGAAGTCGTCTCACTTCCTCTCATACGTAAAATGGCAGGAACAAGTGGCGTTTGAAGAAGCAAAAGAGAATATCCTATGGAACTGCAATTTGGATGGCGTGAAATCGGAATGACTAACTCTTCAGAGAGACGATGACAAGTGGGAGTTCGACGGAGGAAGACGGTTGGATGGATTCTTGCTAAAAATTCTAGAAAGCCCTGCGGGTGGTCTCGACCCCCTTCTTGGAGGTCAACTGACAGATCTCAGCTATCATAGCGACATGGTATGCCTAAAATCAGGTTATGTCTTCCAGCACGTTGTTCCTAGAGTGAAGACGATCGCCAAATCTGCTACTTTGGTCATTAAGACGACAAAAAGCCAAAGTGTTCTTAAATCAACTTTCCAACTAGGAGGTAACCGTCAGCTAGACAATGAAAGTAGTTCCAAATATTTGGGGGTAGTAGACATAGCTCCCGAAATGATGCTTTCGCACGGTCTTTGACGGTCTTCTATGGGTTGGTCAGAAAATTTCATTGTGAAAAGGGTATTCATCCGTCTACCCTCATCCATGGCTGCATGAAGGATGAGGGAAAAAATGGATATCCTCGACCCTCAGAATGGGGTCTGGAAAGTTCGCCTGGAGTGAAACCATCCACACTCATTGCGACATCGCAATGACATCTCAGGCGGCCTGAGAAAATTAGTTCGGGCGAATTTTGGTTGCTGCTCCGAGTCCGACGCCGTTGCCTAATTGGAGACGGTTAGGAGTAAGAAACCCTGAATCTACAAAGTCATTGTGAAAAGGGTAGTCATGCGTTTGCCCGCATACATGGTTGCATGTAGGATGAGGGAAAACTGGATATCTTCGACCCTCAGAATGGGGTCTGGAAAGTTCGCCTGGAATGAAACCATCAACACTCATGGCGACATCGCAATAATATCTCAGGCGGCCTGAGAAAACCAGTTGAGGTGGTTCAGGCGAATTTCTGGTTGCTGCGCCGAGTCCGACGCCGTTGCCTAATTGGAGACGGTAAGGAGTAAGAAATCCTAAGGCATGGCTCTACACAGTCTGAAGTGAAACACAGGGGAGATAGCGTCAAGGAAACTTCCCGATCAGACGAAATTCTCTGTAATATAGGCTAGAAAAACACCAGCCAGAGACAGACAAAGCGCCTAGATTTCACATTGGCTGAGAACGTTCTGGAAGTCGGGTTTGACAAACGTATACGGCCGATGGCTTACCAACCAGGTGGAAGTAATTGACCTACATAGGGGTGGCGTTCATCGATTAATCCTGAACGCGAGAAAGGAATGGACATAGTTATTTTGTCTCTGACCCCTAGATCTAGAGCACAGAGGCGAGCAAAAAATCGGTGTTACTGAAAAAGAATTTGGATGGAAGGCCACTTCTAGCCTATTGGTCTTCAACCATTAAGATATCACATACTGGCGATAGCCAACTGACCAGAAATGGCTAGTTCTGTCTCTAAGTCTCGTCAGAATCATGCCTTAATAACTAACGCAGTAGACAGTTTCGCGAAAAGGGAAAACAAGGCTTAAAATCCAACGTACAAATTCCTGAGCAAGCCTGTCCAATTCCTGACGATAGGATTGGATACGTGTTGAATACTTGGGTCTCTGGTCTCCGGGAAGCTCTTGAATTTCCAGGCCCATCTGCTCCAGCAGTTCGCGAGTCTCCTCGAAAAGTCGCGATGTGGCAGCGATTTCAGGTTTTCGATCACCTTAAACCAAAAATGCGTAGTTTAAAAGAAGTCAGTAATTCTGAATACAATTTGTTAATAATAACAGAGTTTCAGGCCACGTGAAAGAAACGGTTTGAAAGTCAGAAGTTTTTCGATATGGTTTTTTTTCGAAAAAGGAGGGTTGGATGCAATAAAACGGCGCTAATTGTTATTCATCCGGACAAGTGACGTTTATCCAAATGAATTCCTTGGGGTAAAAGTAGGAGAATGAAGAAAATAATTGGGATTGCGATCTTGTGGGTCTTTTACCAAATTAAAATGCAGCACTAATTGGAAAAAAACATCCTTGTGTGAGTTATTTGTTGATTTGGTATTCCCCAATCGACAGTAAATGAGAGCGGGATCCGGTCATCCTACAAGCGAAAAGTAAATCTGGGCATTTTTACGATTCTCTCAGAATGATGTGCACTTTTTGGCGGACAGTTCTTTGCATATCTTTTCCGCATATTTTTGCTTGCTGACGAGGCTCGAGATAATGCATCAAGCTACGAGAAGCGAAACACGAATAAACATTTATCTAAACCAAGCTTGCCAGTACGCCAACGGTAGAACTTTGGTGCCAATAAAATGCTCGTAAAATGCGAAAAAAGAGTTACATTGATATCCCTGTGGAATGCTACGCGCAGTTCTTAGAAGATAGGCGCTTGGATCAGAATTAAGTGATCTGCTATTCTGCGTATGCCATGTGCTGCTGTGTGGCTAATGATTGGACTTGGGAGAGAGACCTAAGGCACGACGGGACGAGTTACTCCCGTAAAAACGATCGGTGAGCACCCCTCTACCATTCAGTGATCTATCGCAAAGCCAAATACACCCATTTGGCTGTCGAAAGGGGAGCGAGTAATAAAAACGAAGTTAGATAAGGGTGAAAAAGTTGAGCGAACGTACACCACTAAATGGACGTTAAAATACGAACAGAAGAACTTGTGACATACCCAGAGCATTAGCTACAAAAGCCAGAGTACGCGTTACGATAGTTTGGGCAGGAAACATCTTAGCCAGAAATCATGCCTTCATCAACTAGATTATAGTTGATACGGGTCTGGAAGTGCTTGAGCTGGCCGCCGTCAAATTTTAGTACAGGCGGGTCTCGAACAAATGCCTGGTTCTTTGTCCTGGGTAGTTTTCCCTAGCGCCATGATCGCCATTTGTACTCTGGTTTGAACGTGACAATGTGAAAATTCTTAGGCGAACTTAATCACCCCTTACAACGAGTAGTTTGAAAATAGTTACATCTTACTTTTTGGGTACCTTCACCACAAAAAGGCCTAAAACATGCATTAACTAACTTTAGTTCTCCTGCTGTCGCTCATAGGGGAGGGGGGGGGCGAGTATATCCAACGCACACCCGTCAAACCTAACGCTCTCCTGTTAGCTTAGACTCCCCTTGTCGTGCGTTCCTTCCTTGGATTAATGTCTTTCGGTGGGGTAAGAATTTTTATCGGCTCCTTGTAGTTTTCTTAGTCCGCTGTAAAACGCGCCAACCAACCAGAAAAACTTAGCAAAAGATACGCCGCCAACGCGTCACTGGCAGTGACATCGTTCCAAAACTTCATTTAGGCCGTTCAGCCAGAAATGGTATAAAAATAACATGCACGCCTTGTTATGTCTGTGAATAGAAAACAATACTGTTTTGGCGTAGTATATCAAGTTGTTTGCCACCTCCAAATCGTTTATTATGGAATCGTTTGTCAATCCATAGTCCCTAAAGTAATCTGCGCCGTAAATAACTAACAACCAACGTCCCACCCTCAAAAGGATGAGTGATTGAATGCAGAACCAACTTTTGACGTAAGTTAACAGCGAAAGTAAGTGCCATCTGAAAGGATGCATAAACTGTAACTGGCGACTGATTCCATCTTTAAACAATCAAAATCTGACCACGACGAACTCCGGTCACACTTTGCAGTCTATATGTACTGCCCCACGAACTTTATGTTGTTTGAATAAAGTAGACACTTCCCGCGCAGATCTGGTTTGGTGGTGGTGTAACTCCTGTCGACAAAAATGAACGGTAGCCTTCCTTCTCTACCGCCTACCCAAATCCCACAACGCGTCGCAACTCTCTCCTCCCTTTTTACGTCGGCACCTCCCACGGCCTTCCCCTGCAGTGGCCCACAGCGCTGCGTTTCCCACTAGTTGTGTAGCGGGCGTGTCAGTGTCATCTCTGCATCCAGACAGGTCACACCCCCTCCCCGTTGTAATTTATCCTATTTGTGCAATCAACCATTACCATTTATCCCCAGTCTCCAGTTCCCATTATATATTTATGTCGACCTAATTCTTCTACTCTTTCGCCTGGATGAGTATAGTGACATGTTAACAACTATTCAAATCGGTTTTAGCCAGGATTTATTTCCAGCATTTTGCTGACTCGATGTAAGCTGTTCTCGATGTCATCGGTCACTACATATTCCCTACTACGTATGCATTAGTCCCTTCCAGTTAGACGTAATGCCTAGATCACTTCTACCAGCGTCTACATCAAAAAGAACGACCATTGCAACAATAGTCAATATTTAACTTAATTTTCTGCCTGGTTATAAATATATTTATCGTCAACTATAGTTAACAAAAAGATTTTATGACTCATCTCTATCTTCCTTTTTGGCGGTTAGTAGACTCAGTATATGGCAATACACCCTAGGGTGTATCACTTCATATTGAAGTGTACTCGACGTAGTACGAAATGTACAGAATCAAAGAATTCTCAAATGGCCATTACCCTTAGGCTTTCTAGACTGATGACTAGGCATCCGGGGTTCGTTACTAGACCTGCGTGGACTATTCTACTAGACACATTGTTAAACATGTTCATTTGTACATTGATATACAGCCATAATGGTAATCAACATTAACGTATCCAATTTACGCCAGATAAATGTACATCCACCGACCTGAGAGTACTACCGTAGCGTGTAGCGCAAAGTGTTCGAACACGAAAACGGTACCATGACATGGCAATCGTGTACTATCAGTAAATGCATCCTGCGGTCGCACTGCCCTTCTGTTGCGTAAAACAAGGACGAAACTTCGGCATAGCAAAATATTAAAAATTAAGTCGGCACAGAAACAGTGTTAGCGAATCAACTGCAGGAAGAGCATCATGGAAGACAAAACAGACAGCGAAATTTCACTCACCGCCTTCCAAACGAGCAATGTTATTAAGTTTTGCCGTTATCTCGCTAGTCAGATTTCCGTATTGTTTTTCATAAGATTCCAATATGGACGCCATAGTTCCGAGGCACCAAACAATACCAATAGGACACTTGGGGAAGTCAAAGCTACGCTACAGAGATGCCCGATGACCGCTGGGCGGGCACTTTTTAAAATGAGCGCGTACCATAGTAGGTAAGTAAACTGCATTTGTGAATTTGTCAAGGGTTTATAATTCAGTATAATTCAGTATATATGAGGGATAGAGGCAGATCCCTTGAAAACCCTATCTCAGATAACTCATAGGGATAATACTTATGAGAACTTGGGTCTGGTGCGGATAAAAAATTTTTGACAAAGTATCTCTGGACTCAAGTTCAGGCCAACCACCTGTATGTTTGCTAAAAAATTTTAGAAGAGGAAACTAGCAGAAGAGGGTGGGTTTATTTATTCCACACAAGGCATTTTAGAAAGGCGGTGGAAGTGGAAGTGCGGGATCAGAAAGCAGAACAGAAACGGTGTAAGTGATAATTGACAAATGGATTAGTAATAATAAAATTTGAAGAGGCTTCACGAAAAAAACACTTCATAAGACAAACAATGCCTCAAAACAAGCGAAAGGCTGAGAAAACGACATCCGCGTTCGTTCAGAAAGACACACTCTCAATTTCTTGCAGAGGAACAACAGTCGACAGAAAGAGACCGAAGTGACAAATTGCTCTTTCCAAATAAACTAAAACAAGAAACCGCTGTTTGTAAGTATTTGCACAGAGTCAAGTCATGGTTTCGCCTACCTGAAGGCACGTGGGAGAACTCAGATTTTATGTGGGTCATTGGATCGCTACTTATTGAACTCCCCTTCTTTCTGCGCGAGATCAAGGCTTCTCTTAATTTGCACACACTTAGATTCGGAAACGACTTCCGCGTCCAATCCACCGCGTGGGCATGCAACACCGAACTTATTGCTCTTTAAAGACTACATGTAGTGCTCTGGCGTATTTTTATCTGAGGTCTGGACGACATAAACAACCTGTTTTTACTGTAGATTCTGCCTTGTCACCTTAGGTGATTGATTCTATTTCTCGCTCTATATTTGGTATTGCTTCGTTTTTCTTGACAAAACGTCTTCTTATACTGCAAAATAATTTTTACCTGCAAACTTTAGCGTGTCCTTTGTGGGAAGTGCCCACACCCCAAAAGGAAGAGCCGGCCAATCACTGGAGGCCACGTGCGTTTCCTCTACCGCGCTGTCAGAACAACCGTGATGCCTCTCAATTGGCTGCTCCCCTCGAGCCTGATCGATCCGTGTATTCGAATTATCCATCATCTCGTCTGGAAATTTTTTAAATCGAATTGCATTGGGTCGAATGCAAGCAAACCCTAGTTGGATGCAATAAATAGCGTTACTTTCCAGATTGGCTTGACTTGCAGCTCCCAGTGCACTTTTTTCATTGTCGGGCGCATTCTCCTTCTCTACGGCGTTGGTATTGGGAACAAAAGTCGGGTACGCATACGTTCACCTGATTTCAAGTACCAGACCGGATCATAACACCATTGTTTTCCTACGAAGGCTTTCCATACCTGTCCTCATTACCCAGAGAAAATAGCATAATCGTTTTTACTAAGATTAGGGTCTATCGAAATAATTATCCTATATCATGGAAACCAATAAAAACATACGTTCAGAGGCGAATTAGGCCAGCTTCATTTAAAGCATTGTGAGAACTTATAATACCTGATTATAGTTGTATACCATGAAAAAAGCAGCTCGGCACCAAGTTTGCTGCTACTGCTGCTCACTGCTGAGGTTGACCTTTTTTACTTGTGAAGCGTTTTACCCACAGTGCCTGTTTGATGTATATGCTGACAAGGGGATTATAAGTTTGTGCCACTAACAGCTTGCCAGTCTATCCTGCAATCAGACTGTAAGAAGGAAACTAGACCAATGACTGTGTAAATCCCAAGAGCTGCAACATTTTTGCGCAGAAGGTTGTCGGCGGGGACGAGTGGGATTCGAATTACGTGGGTGGAAACCAACACATAGGAGATATCTTCTCCCATAATCATATGTCTGGCGATCTTTCGTAAAGGTAAACACGCCAAGTTTAGCCAATTATAAAGCAAAAACTTACACATTCGTCTAAGTTTCTAAGAGGAAACCATAGGGTTAAAAACATTTGTATGTCTGGGACGAAAGTCGCTTTGTCCTATTAGAATGGATGGTTTTTGTCAATGGCTGAGTAGGTAAACCCATGGAAAATTGATTTTTTTGCAGGCCGACACCGTGCGGAGATGGCGGAAGTATGAGGTTGCCTGTGACACTTAGGTGCTTGTAGCCAATAAGTCCGGATCGAACAGCTTGCATCCTCCTCGACTGTTATGAAGGACCATGGGAATAAGTACGATTTATCGACTACCGAAATTTAGAAGGGGATGCTGGTAGGATTTACCTGTCTTAGTACATGGACCAAGCAATTTACCTTTCGCACAAGTTGTTTTGTTGACGAGAAAGGATTAAAAATTTATTTAGAATATGGGTGTCCCGCTTAGCGGCTTAAATAGGCTCCTCCATCAAATGACCTTCCCCGGTGACTCTTAGTTGGTTTACGCACATTTGTTTTTACAGTGTTTAATTATGACCTCCTATGACTGTCAAATTAGTTCGTTCAGTGTGCAGGCGAAGACAGCTTAGGGCTACCATACATATGACTTGAGTAGCATCATCCTTGCTCATATGCAGTCAGGCTCGAAAAGTAATCGTGGAAATAGCTGGACTTAGGCCCTCCATACCTAGACTGCCAGTGCACAATGTACCGGCATTGCTATTCCCCGTTCTTTGTTGGGTTGTAGAGGTCTTACTGTTCCACCTGTGCTTAAGCACTCCTGTGGGAAGTCATAATAAGATAGATACAGAGAAGACACGTGCGTGAAAAGGGACCAGGATATTTCCTCCTACTATATTTACATAGGAATTTCAGCAGTTGCTGAAAGTTTATTCTGTGGGAGATACAGACGTTGTGGTCTAGCTGAAGGACTAAAGACTCGTCTTTTTACAGTACTGTCTTTCCGACTTTATACACTATGGCCGGATTCGGACTGCATCATCAACCATTCCCGGAGTTCGGCCGTTTGGTCAATAGACTTCGGCCCATTTGGGCTCAAGTTCGGCGAAGAATTCATCTTACGGCGTGTGAAGTATGGTAAAATGACGTCTACATCTTAGGAAGTTTTCAAGTCTGCGAGCATTTTACTCCACTTACTTTGCAACGATCGGAGACGGGAGAAACAGGGGATACGTAAAACAGCTTTTCAAAGGCTTTTACAGTGCTACTCGTGGAAGGAAATATGCGTTCGACGTATGTATTTGTCAGGGCACGTTAATGTTAAGATTAGGGTCGGACTAGCCACGGGGCTAGCGTTATCATTAGGGTTATATGCTCAGTTTTGCTTTTTGGGGTTAGGGTCACTGGCTAGCGTTTATGATTGGTTTGGGATCTGAAACAGCGCTAAGTTTGGTCTTAAGGGTTTGGATCAGGATTTCGGTTTGAGGTTAGGTTTAGGGTTTATAATTTGGCGCGGGATAATTATCTGAACTAGATTTAGGTTTAGGGTTGGATTTGATGAAATGCCAAGGATTAGGCTTAGGGCGTAAGTGCTAATTACATATAGCAGGTGTTGCATTTAGGTGTTAGTGAATGGGTTATGGTTGACATTGGCGACAGGGTTTGTTGTATATTGGAAATTAGAACAGAACAACAAGCGTCCAGAAAACCGCCCTCTTCTCTTTTATCGTTGACCGCCGGCAAATAAATAAATAAATTTTAATTTAATGCCAGTTTACAGGCATTGTCAAGGGAAGCGCTTAAACACAAATCCGACCAGTAGTGGAAAAAAACTCCTGAGCTTAAGGCATAAAAATATAGTTGATGGTGGTTTTTGTGGTTTGGAGGGCTCAGGAGAAAAAAACTGTCGGCGGTGGTAGAATATCGACCGTCAAGAAGGGGGGAGGTTGCACGGTATCGGAGATTATCGGACGTCAAATTCCTTTCATGAAGTTGGAGATAGTCAAAGTAGAGGCGTTGAGGAACAGCTGGTGAGACCGGCCATAGTGTTCAGAGACCACAAACGCCATCGCTACGGTACAGTCGATCAGTAGATTCAGCACCCAAAATTTGTGGGAGCTTTTCTGGATGCAAAAATCGGGTAATAGTTCTCTTAAATAAAGGAAAATTTTGCAGAGTTTTCACACTCATGGGTAGTTTATTCCAAATAGCAATTGCATTTACAGAAAAGAACCGATGATATTTAACAGTACGTGCCAGAGGCAGAAATAAGAAGACCTCACGGTGACTGTTACGTCGTGAGTGGATATGATGTCTTAAAGAGGTGAGTGGGTTAAATGTGTGATTATATAAGAGTTTAAATAGCAAAAATAGTCCCTTTTGTAATCTACGGAACCATAAAGGATCGAGGCCTGTAAGCCGGCAACGTTCTTGGTAAGACAAATGTCGGTGTTCCGGGGTTAAAATTCTCTTAGTAAAAAAGTGCTGAACGGATTCTATTTTCTTCCGCTCAGTAGCACGCATGAGGCTAAATGAAAACGAACAGTATTCCAGACCAGGTCTAACGTACATGTTGAAAAGGCGCATTCTAATGTCCCTAGTTTTAAAATTTCGAAGGATAAACCCGGTCGTTCTACGTGCTATGGAGACTATCAAGGTACAGTGCTCCGAGAGATTGAGACTCTTGGAGTATGATACGCCCAGATCTTTAATAACCCCAGGCACATTTATTGCGTGACCTTCAATATTTAGTTGAGGTTGGCCGTCGTCGCCAACGATCATGACTGAGCACTTATGCCAAGAAAGAGAAAGGCGCCATGTGCGGCACCACTGGGCGAAAGCCTGTAGATCGCTCTTTAGGAGCTCAAGCACGATGTCATGATCTGCCGGCTTATATCGATATGCAACTTTAAGATCATCGGCATACATGAAAGGCTTACCATTCTGAAATAAATCGGGTACATCATTAACGAAAAGGCAAAATAAAAGCGGGCCGAGTACACTACCCTGAATGACT